GGGGTGCAGGGCCCTAACTCCCCCACACTCCGCAACACCCCACTCATGTGGCACCCTTAAGAGCCCTTTTGGGAACCTGAACCTCTCGAGAGATGTTACCGAAATGTCACCCACTGGGTTTTCTCCTAAAGAAAGGGCAGCAGTGGGGGCCTGATCAGGCAAAGGCATCACTGACCCTGAAAGAGGATTTGGCCCAGGTCCCGGCCCCATATATCCAAAGGTGGGAGAACCATCCACCCCGCAACTGCCTAGTACTGACGTAGCGCTGGGAGCAGCGCTGTTACAGCAGCAAAGCACCGGGAAGTTACAAATCGTGGCCTATGGGTCCAAAACACGGAATTACACTGAGCAAAATGTCACCCCCTGCGAGAAAAAGAAAGAGTCCTGGGCCTTGGTGTGGGGCTTGCAGCGCTGGGGGTATATCACTGGAGGATCTAAAGTCATAGTACAGACAGTACGTTCCCCCCTGAAATACAGAATACCAGGAAAGGCGCAGGAGGGGCAGGTATCTAACCCTAGGCTGGCACAATGGCCTCTGGCCCTTGTCAATGGAGGGAGAACCGTAGGAAAGGGAAAGGTGCTATCCCCTGCACCATGTGGCCTTGCAGTGCATAATTCCCTCTGGGAGTGGAGGCCCAGGGGGTCCAGAGTGAGGGGACTCCCTGAGGAGGCCCACAGCAGAGATAGACGTGCTAAGGCTCAGAGAGGTGCGGCTCCAGGAGGTGGAGGGGCCTACGGCTTAAACCCCGAGAAAGAGCAGACCCCTAAGAAGGGCTGTTGCACTGAAGGGGGCTCCCCACAGGGACCGTATGGAGCTGAGAGAGAGCACGAGTTCTGTGAGTCCGTGAGATGAGGTATCATGGCAAAGGTTATGATCTGCTGGAAACCATCTAAATAGGTGCATTATCCGCGCGTATGAAGTGATGAGAGTGTGCGGTATGGCTGTCACCAAGATATGCTGTGGGTTTGGGAAGCGCCCAGATACCAGCTCCCCAGAGACAATGTCAAGGAAAGTAACCAACGCCCGGGCAGGTGTCAAACAACCATCGCCAGCCATTGTCCAGCAAGGAGCTACAATGCAATCACTCACCGGCATGAGGCCACACCAGGGGGACTGCTCAACCTCGCCTCGGGACTCAGCAACGCCCCCAGACATGCCTGGACTTGTGTTCCCCAAGCACATGGACTAAGGGTATAAAACAGGACACGGGGGCCCCATGCTGGGCTTTTCTCCTGCCCCCACCTACACTGCAAGCAACAAGGACACTGGGAAGACTGAAGACTCCAACAGAGGGGACTGGCCCAGGTTTCTAGGGGGACAGCTGTGTACTGTGAACTGCAATATCCAGTGGGGTGAGAAAAACTGCTTAGCCTAGATGTTGCCCAGGCTAAGCGGGTTGGGAGTTTAGACTCCGGGCTTATATTTCACTTGATTTTGGTAACTAACTCTGGACTTTTTCCCTATCACTTATAATCACTTTAAATCTATCTTTTGTAGTCAGTAAATTTGTTTAACTGTTTATCGTTACCAGTGAGTTTGCCTGAAGTGTTTGGTGAATCTGCTCAGGTTTACAAAGGCTGGTGTATGTCCACTTTCCATTGATGAAGTGGGGAACCAATGAATAAATTTGCACCGTTCGTCTTGAGCAGTGCAAGATGGTACATTCCTGGGGTACAGCGCTGGGAGCTGGGGGGATTCGGCTGGTGCCTTTCCATGTGTGATCCATGACCGGCTCTGGGAGCATTCATGGAATCTAGCTGGGTGCGGGCTCCACATGCGGTTGTGCTGAGTGATCACAGCGCTGGGAGGGGTTTGCTGCTGGTCACTAGCAAAGCATTGTGGGAGACAGCCCAGGCTGGAGAGCTAAGGGGGCCCAGCGGTCCCACAGTCCCAGGCTGCACCCCGGGGATCCCGTCACGTACGGGACAGGTTATTAGATCACCAATACGAGCTGGACCTCACCGGGTTAAAAGGGTCCAGGGTCGTGCCTCAATGTGCCCCACATGTATAAACACTCCATACGGGGTGGGCAGCACGGTTACAATTATGGTATGTTCAAAAACCCGTAAGGAGTAGTATGTGTATTCTGCTTGGTAACTGTCAATAAACAGAGGAGAAGGATATTACTGGGTAAGGGTCTTTCCCTGCAGACCCACAAAGCACATGCCCTGCGCCCTAGGAACTGGGTACGGGTGGGCGCCCCCTAGAGTGTGTGTGTAACGGAGAATTTTGTGCAGGTAACAGGCCCGTCTAGCCTGGTATCCCGCCCCCTCCCTCCCCTGGGATCAGCCCTATAGGCCCGTCTACCCTGGTATCCTCCCGCTTCCCTGCCCCCCGGATCAGCCCCATGGCCCCATCCACCTCATATCCCCCCAAGCGCTCACCTCCCCGGTCCTTGCCGGCCAGTCGGTTCAGGAGGTAGGACTTGCCGGTGCGGTACAGCCCGGCGATGGCCACCACCACCACGGGCTGGCGGACGCTCTGGAGCAGGGCCAGGGCTCGCTGGTTCAGCTGCAGCA